AGGGGGGATAGTAGAGGATAGGAAAGACAGCAGAATACAACAGACACTAGTATGGCAATATGTGAAACAGTGGATGTGTAACCGATGTGATTCTGCAATCTGTATACGGGGTAAAAATGGGAGTTCATAACCCACTTGAATCAAATGTGTGAAATATGATATATCTAGAACTATGTAATGTTTTGAACAACCAACAATAAAAATTAAAAAAAAAAAAAAGAATGAAATGCTGGCCTTCAGCGAAACTGGGGGTGCCTGCTATGGTCTGTTTCATCTTTGTCTCCACACACCACACTACAAAAATACCTTTATTTACTCCAGCAATGGACACCACCTTGCTAGTCTGGGAGGTGAGGGTGGGCTCAAATAAAGATCCAAGCTTCTCATGCTGGGCAGTTAGGACACTTTTCTACGTGTCTCTCCAGCTAGTTCCAGCTGTTTCCTGACCTTCAAAGGTGAGACCCCCTTGCTCTTTACTCCTTACTGCTTCTGCTTTTAGTCTAGCCATTCAGAACTTTTGGACAAGGAATTCCAGCTGTCACGTCCTCAGGGAAGTTTGCCCCTCTGTGCCTGTTTCTTTATCTGGGTAATATCAGGGGTGTAGTGGGGGATTTAACGAGTTAATACAGTATAGCATTTATCACAGTGCCTGGTTAGCAGTGTCCGTGCTAGGTGTCTTATTATTACTTCCTTCTATATAAATACACTTCTTCTCTTGATATAAACAATTCCAGTCTCGACCTATTCGTCATGATCCTGATAAATCCATTGGATCCTTTGCATGAGCTTCCTGAGAAGTCCCCCACGGCGCACCTTATTGGCAATTTCTGATCCGGTGCAGATGTAAATGATAAGGCATCCCTTTTGAGTTTATCAGTTTGGTCACTGAAACCGCCAGTGACCAAACTGATAAACTCGAAAGTAACGAAAACTGATTAGCGGCATATTGGCTAGTCTCAAATCCTTGAAAGGGGATTTAAAGTGTAAATAACTGAATGGAGTCCTTCATCTGTGCCTCCATGCCCCACGTGTTCCCCTTCCCCTCCATCTAGAGCTTAACTTTGCTGCTGCAGGCACGGCACCTGGGGCGAGGCCAGGGTTGGAGGTGCAGCTTTGGGAGGACGAGAAGGATAAGGCAGGTTCGCGCCATACCTGCTCTCCTTCTTTAAGTCTAAAGCCGCCTTTGGCCCAAGTAATCGCCGCTCGCCTAATGGAATGTGCATACCCACCCCGCTTCCCTGGCTAAAGCGCCAGAGCTAGCCCCTCTACTCAGTAGCCCCGAACCCCGACTCTTCAAGTGCGCCGGAAGGGATTTCCACCTGGGCGCCCGAGGGCCTTTGCGTCCTGGGTCGGTCCCCGAGCTGGGCGGAGCTGGTCCAGCCCGGAGCTCGCCCCGCCTCGCCCCGCCTGGCCGTAAGCTGACCGTGTGGCTGTCGGGCGGGGGCCTGGCAGGGAGAGAAGGGGAGGAGAAAGGAGGGGAGGAAAGTGGAGCCTGGCGGGGAGGAAGGGAAGGGGCGGAGGCGAAGTGCAGAGTGTGCCGGCGCGCGGGGGAGCCTCAGCGCGGGGCGCGTCCGGGAGCCCAAGTCGCGGACGCCGCGCCGCGCGGAGCCAGTCCCTCCCCTGCCCAGAGCAGCCCGCACGGGCTGTCCCGAGCCGCAACACCCGGGCGTCCCGGCCTGCCATCTAGGACAGCGGCGACCGGGAGACTCGGTTGCGAGCGCTGCGGGAGGGATGGTGGCGACCGGGCGCGGGCCAGCGCAGCCGCCCCTTCCTCCCGCTCGGCTGCGGGCGACTTGAGTCCGAACTGCGAGCGGGGCATGAGGCTGCGGCCCCTGGCCTTAGGCCTCCGCGCCCCGGCCCCCGCCACGCGACCCTGCGGAGTTTGTCGCCCGCGCCGCCGCTGAGGCCGGGCGCCCCACCATGCCGCGGGCCCCGGCGCCCCTGTACGCCTGCCTCCTCGGGCTTTGCGCGCTGGTGCCGCCGCTCCCAGGTAAGCCGCGCCTCCAACTGAGTGGAAAGAAACTTTGTGGCGCTCACAGAGCCTGCCGGCGTTTCCGAGGGGCCGCTGCGGGGGCGTTGCCCCAGTGGAGGGTGCCCTCGGGGCACTCTCAGGTGGGCCAGCCGCCGCGGGACAGTCCCGCGGGCGCTTCTGAAATGCGTGCGTCATCCGGTGCCTGCAGCCCTGCCGGGCCGTCTCGATCTCCTGTCCCTTCCCTGGCCGAGGAGGAGCCTTCCCTTCCTGTGTAAACAGCCTGGCCGGTCTGCTGATCGAGCGAGCCCGCTAGCGCCCGCGCCCAGGGCGCGGGAGGGCCGCCGCCAGCTCTGCTTTGGGACCAGGGCGCTCTACTCGTGGGCACAAAGCGGCCCTTGTGGCCGATCGGGGGCGGGCGGGGAGGCGCAGAGCAATGCAGCCGGTGCCCTGGTCCCGGGGAGGTGAAGGGCAGCGGGAGGCGCGAGTCGTAGGGTCTTCCCTAGAGCCAAAGCGTGGCGCCCTGCTGACTTTGGAGGACTGGTCTCCTGGAACAGCGGGTGCACAGAACCCGATAGCGAATCCCAAAGTTTCACTGCGCCTAGGCCAACTGCCTTCCTATAAAGATGTATTGCCCCTGAGCTCCCTAAGTCACTGCAAACCCGAGGGGAGACTGGCATCCCGAGCCACTGCCCCACCGGAACTTCCCGATCTGATTCCTTCTGCTTGATTTTATCCCGCAACTCACAAACACTTCGAGGCTCACACGGCCCTAACTATGGAGGATTCTGGATCAGGGGCTGTTGAAGTAGCCTTTTCCGGACATTGCCCTGGGCTGGCTGGAGGCTGTGTGACGACTCTTAAGCTACTTTTAAGTTTTCGGAGTTGGGAGTGGCATTTAGAAGGCTCCTAGTGGAAGGATGCTCTGTTTGGCGCTGTGGGCTGCCAGACAGATGAGCTAGCCTATCTCCTCCTCCTCCTACTCCAAATCAACAAACAAACCCAGAGCAGGCTGCACATTTTCTCCCTTCTCGTAGCACGTAATTGCATGTGGGTGTGCTCCATTCACTTTCAAGCCCCAGAAACTTGGTCTGCTCGTGTGAGCCAAGTGGTTGCCTGGCTGCCCGAGGTTAGGACTGTTTTCCCCTATGGTGTCTCATTTACATGAAGGCAGTGGAGGTTTCAGTGTGAGAGTGGAGGAGGGGTCTGAACAAACAAAAACTTTGTCCAGTCCCTAATTCATACTTCATACTGTAGCAAGGTTTCTTTTGTGGGAAAATACTCAATCCATAGCTTGGAGTAGATCACTGGAGTACAAACACCCATCTGACAACCAGGACCTATCCCTGGTGTTTTCATGGGACCCTAGAGAAATGCAGAGAGGAGGAAGATGTGGCACACACGAGCTTCTCTTTGTCAACTATCCCTTGCTTCATGATGACTTTTCTTTAATTTGAAATTGTGACCCCCTTTAAAAAAATTTTTTTTTGTAGTTGTAAGTGGACACAATGCCTTTATTTTTATTTATTGATTTTTATGAGGTGCTGAGGATCGAACCCAGTGCCTCACCCATGCTAGGGGAGCGTTCTACCACTGAGCCACAACCCCAGCCCCAAATTGTGCCCCTTTATCTATTGGTAGAAATTTTTCTTTAATACATTTTAGTGATGGTAGTTTTTAATTTTTTGGCAAACAAAATATCCAGCAACCCTTATTAATTTCCTCCTTTTCTGCTTCTTTTTTTTTTTTCTTTTGTTTTTCAGTCTTGGTGTTCTGTAAAATTAAAAAGTTCAGAAACTGCTAAAGGAGATACAAGTTCCGGTCCAGTTTGACATTCTGTGATTCTTATAAAACTCAAATATTTCCAGTTGCAAATAATTTTTTAAAAGCATTATTTTCCACTTGCATTGTGATTCCCCATTTTCAAAGTTCATGTGCATCCTCACAAGGATCTTCATTTTGCAGAGGGTCCCAAGAGGCAAAGCCACTGGCTACTTTGCACCTGCCTTAGTTTGAGAGCAGTGGACCAGGGACCATGGCTTTTGGTCTAGTGCCCTTTATCCTACATGACCTCAACATAAGGAAAAAGCATCGAGCTTGGTGGTTTATTTCCAATGCCTTCAGGGTTCCTTTTTTTCCATTGCCCATCTCTGTAACCACAGGCTTGTCTTCTGCCATTTCCTGTTAGAGATGTCAGCTCCCAGGGATCAGCAGAACAGCAGCAGAGCAAGCAGAACACTGGCCACCTCTCTCTTAGTGCCCTGGGACCCCAAAAGGTTAGATGGACTGGTTCACCCATGTGATTTCTCCATTTCCCAATGTTACCGAGCCAACTTCAAGCTTTCTATTTTGGTCTTCCTTCTTTTTTTCTTTTCTTTTAAGCACTGCAGGTACTTTCTCCTCTGTCTTGCTACCAGGAGTATGATTTGAACAAAAAAGTCACCCAGAGAAAGAAAGAGGTGACCTGCAGGGCCCTGCCTGCCTGGGTGTTCCTAGACCAGTGGACAAATCCAGCAGGAAACTGACCTTAGGCTCATTTTTTTGTTAGTTTGTTTGTGGAACTGGGGACTGAACACAGGGGTGCTCTACCACTGGTTTCCATTCCAGCCCTTTTTATTTTATTTTTTAAAAAATTTTTGAGACAGGTCCTTACTAAATTGCCAAAGCTGGCCTTGAACTTGTATCCTTCTGCCTTAGCCTGGGGAATAGCTGGGATTATAGGTCCATGTCACTGAGCAGAGTTAAAGGGCTCATTTTAAACAAGTTCCTGTCAGGCTGATAACAATGGCCCCCTCCCCACCAGGGGTATCTTTGCTGTTCTTATTATCCATGGCCACAAGAGTCTCCAGATGGAACCCTAAGAAGTGGTCCTCCCACAAAACCAGGGAAAGGTCTCATTGGCTTTTCCATGCCACCCTGCTCTCTAAGAGGAAGGACTGTGCTCTTGGTCCTGCTATATGACTGCAGTCACGTTTGCTATCATAGTTTATATTTTTAAGCCATCAAATGTTTCTTTTACTGAATGCCCTGAAAATTAAAATGCTCTAAATACTAAGAGAGCCCCTCATTTTATTTAGCAGACTCACACGGCAGTGCCCTTCCCTTCTGCCCTCACCCATCCCAGGTGTAGTGCTGGTCTGTGATGGGCTGTTGGAATTTGGCTGGATTTGCTGCTCTCTTCAGGTAACCAGGCCCAGGCTTGGCAATGGCAGGACAGTCAATGAAATATGCAAACAGTGGGCTTGGTTTGTAGACTGCTGTTTACCCTATGGGTTTGCATTTTAACTTCGTCATCCTTGAGTCATGGGGGGTGCTTTTTATAAAGGGGATTGAGGCAGAAGAGGGCAGGGCCTAATTAGCTCTAATTAGTATTCCTCTCTTGCTTGTTCTCCATGCTTATTTAGCTACTGAGGCAACAGAGAATTAAAATATCTAAGTAGTTTGGCAAAAGGCCCTTTGTACCCGCCTGCCCTGCTAACAACTTTTTCTTCTTCAGCCTGATTATGGAAATATTCGGAGAAGTTTTAAGCTATCAGTAATGTGGGACAATTTCACTGTGCTTAAATAATAGGATCCCTTTCACAGGGCGTGTGGAGCTGGGTTTCTGGGATGGGGCCTTTCCACAGGTATTTTCAGTTGGCCAGGCTGGGGGCTTTGGAAAGCCGATGGCCATGCTTTGTGTTCCTTCCTTCCAGTTGGAATGGGATTAGTGGGCTTTCTAAACAGACCCCTTTATTTATAAGCATCCATTTGTTGGTGAGGCTTCTTGCTTGCAGGGCCATGGGGTGAAGAGTCCGTGCCAGGACAGGTTGACTTATCCCCTGTAGCTGGTGCTTTGGGGGTGCCTAGATGTGCTGCCCTCTCCTTGCAGGATCCCCTCCCGACCTCAGCTGAATTGTTCAGAGGTGGTCTCTTGTAGAGTTGGGATGGACTCGTGCACTTGACCCTTCTAGGTACTCTCAGCTCTCAGAATGATCCTGTTGAAACTTTAGCCAGATCGTGTTTTAAGTCAGATCGTGTTGCTGTGCTTAAAACTTTCTGGTGGCTTTGGGAAGTCCTCACATGGGAATGCTTACCCTTCTGCCCTGACCTGTCACTACTCTCCCCTCAGGCACTTCACTCCAGCAGCCTGTGCCGCCTCTGATCTTCTAGCAGCCAGCCAGGCCCCCAGGGCAGGCCCTTCCACTTCCCCCAATCCCCAAAACCTCTTCTCAAGTGTTTCCTGCTCAATCACTTGGTATCCCCAGCCATTACCAACCAAAGCTGCCACTTCCCGCATCAGCCTCGTGCTTCCTATCTCCTTTCCTTCCTCTGTCTTCCTCCTTAGCACTTCTGCTGTCTAATGTGCCTGTTTATCTGCCTGCCTATGAGGAAGCTGAGGGAGGGCTACGTGACTTGCCCAAGGTCATCAGTGCTGAGCTCTCTCTCAATTCCCCACACACTCCACATCCTGTGGTTTCAATGGCTTTTTTTTTAAAAAAAAAAAAAGTCATAAAAATTTAGAATGGTTTCAGATTTATAGGAAAGCTGAGAATATCAAAGAGTTGCCATCCGTCCTACACCCCACTCCCACTGCCGTTAGCACCCTCCATCAGCATGATGTATTTGTTGCAGTTATGAACTACATTGATAATACTCTCTTAACCTAAGTCCACATTTTATTCATATTTCCTTAGTTTTTACTTTTTTTTTTTTTTTCTGTTGTAGGATCCTATCTAGTATACCATGTGGGGCTGTCATGTCTCCTTGGGTTTCTCCTGACAATGACAGTTTCTCAGTCTTTCCTTGTTTTCAATGGCCTTGACAGGTTTTTATTTTATGCTCTTTCTTTTCCTTCTTTTTTCTATCTATTTTTTGGTGCTGGGGATTGAAGCCAGGGCCTCATGCATGCTAGGCAAGTCCTCTACCACTAAGCTACATCCCCAGCTAACCTTGACAGTTTTGACAAGTATTGGTCAGTTATTTTGAGGACTGTGTCCTATTAGGGTTCAGCTGATGTTTTTTTTTTCTCATGATTAGAT